AGCGAGCAAACGAGAACGCGCGCGCACGCGGCGCCCCCGCCCTCGCGTCGCGGGGTGGAAGAGGGAAGGACTCGGCGCGCGCACGTACGCAACCACGTCCTCCGGAGGGAGGCAGCAGCAGGGCGCGCGGGCGCAGAACCGTCTCTGCCGCCCCTCCAGTTCTCCAGGGCCGGCTGTTTGGGTTCGCTTTGCAGCAGCGCAGCTGGCTGTGAGCTAAAGGATATTGGTGGTGGACTGCCGTAGGCGAGGGAGGAAAGTGAACTCAGAGGCGGCGGAGAGAAGAGACATGGACCAATTCTGGCAGGAGAGAGCATCTGCCGGTGGCGTCGTTCTCGAAGACCGGCGCGTATTCTGCTGCAGAAGCCTCACCTGCCGCGCAGTCGGATCGGGGGACCTACTGGAGATGTGACTCTCCTGGATCTCTGTGCTTTAACCGGCCCGGTTCCATTCCTTGGCCATCATAGCTCAGGGAGCCGTGAAGCAGAACTTGGTTTTGTTGTTGTTGTTGTTGTTTTTAACTGGGAGCATATCAGAAGTAGGTTGCACAGACCAGGTGAGGAAGAAAATATTTAACAGCCATTTCCAGCTTCTTAATTAATTGCCAAACATTACTACTACATATCATAAAACACAACTCAGGTTTGGTTTTTCAAAGTAAGATCTCAAGGCCACACCCCAGGCCTGAATCAGGAAGTGGAGAAGGCTGATTCTACGTGCGTCAGTTTTAGGAGCCAGCGATCCAAGCAATGTTTTGTCCTGAGCATCCCACTTAAGTGTATTCATGGTGAGTTGGATGCCAGATACCTTAACAATATCGATAATAGGTGCTTTCAGGAAGGAGTTTTATTTGAAAAGCAAGTACTTTTAAGATTTTATGTAGTGCAGAGGGACCCAGGCAGGCAGCGAATGAACAAGGGAGAAAAGTATGAAGAGCTAGGTCGTCGTATAGGGCAATGGTCTTTCTTTTTAATTTTCATTTCTTTTCTTTTAATGTACACCTTAAAAAAATTTCAAAAACTATTTTAACTCCTCAAATATTTTCATTTGATATCTAAAAGTATAAGTTTAAATAGTTGCAAAGATTATCGTTTCTAGCATTGCTGTACTGCCATCTTTAAATTAGTACATCACTTTTAAATCTGTCCAGTAGAAAAGTAAACACAAAAGTGATGTTTTAAATGAATAACATTTGCATAAGGGCATCGAGTTATGTTAAGGGTAAGAATGATTTGGGAAAGACTACAGAGAATGGTTAAGCAATTTGAAGAATGTAATCATTGCTACTAAAATGTACATGTAGAAATTGTTGAGATGGTATATGTTATGTATGTTTTTACTACAATAAAAAAAATCAAATATATAGTCAAAAACATATTTTCCTCAAAATTCAATTTTTACTTCAACTCGCCACAGAATTTTATTCTCAAGTCATTAGCATAGTTCCTTATGGAGACTTCATGGTGCCATAGTTAAGTGCTAGCCCCATAACCAGGAAGTTGGCAGTTGGACCCTACCCTGCAGCTCCAAGAAAAAGAGTTGGTGACATGTCCTCTGATGTTATAAAGATTGTTGTTGTTGTCAAGTGCCACTTCTGACTCATAGCAAGGCTTCCAAGGAGTCCAATAACCTTGCAGTCCGGTGCTTATCCTACAGTGCCACACTAGGGCTCTAGTCTAGAAAACCCTATGAGACCGTATGCTCTGTTGCTATGATTTGAAAGCAACTCATGGTACCAAACATCATACTTCTTTACAGTAAAAACTTATTAAGTTGTGTTAAATTTTTATTCTGGATTTTTACCATTACAAAATACTAGTACACAACTGAGCAAAACAAATTAGCATGAATTTTGTTAAATCGTTAGTAAACATGAAAAATTATTATTGGGAATGCCTTAATGAGATAGGGTCTTGTTTATTCTTACAATTAGTTCATGTTGTTGTTAAGTGCCGTTGAGTAAGTTCTGAGTCAGTGACCCTGTATACGGTTTCTGCTTACTTTTAGGGTAGCAGTCTAGTGCTTATCCTATAGTGTCACACCAGGACTCCTATGTGGGAGTGGCTCCACAAGATAAGCACTGGCTGTGAACCAGAAGGTCAGTGGTTGAAGCTTGCCAGCCCCTCCAAGGGAGAAAGATGAGGCTTTTTGCTCCTACAAAGATTTAAAGCCCTGGAAACCCTACACAGGGATGCTATGAGTCAAAAAAACCCATCAACACGGCACTTAACAATAACAGTGATTAGTTCATATACAGGTAGACATGAATACATGTATAGAATACTTTGAAGTGCTACAATTATTCAATATGGCCCTTCTAGCCAAATTCTTCCATTCTCACATATGAATCCCAGACTCTATGCTTGTAAAGATGGTACAAGACCAGGCCTTATTTCTTCCTGTTGTACTTAGGGTCACTATGAGTCAGAACCAACTCAATGGCATTTAATAACAACAAGTATTAAAATCATCCAAAAGGAGGAAAACATTCAACAAGATTGATAAATAGTGGCAACAGTGGACTCAAACATAACAATTGTGAAACTAGTGTAAGACAGGGCAGTGTTTCACTGTGGGGTCACTAAGAGAACCTAACAACTACTACAACAAAGGATTAAGGTGGGACTAGAAAGTGTGACTCAAATTACTGTCCTAAGTGTCGAGGGTATGGTCTTTATCCAATATATAGAAATGCTTTGGCAAAATTTGCTCTCTTGCTCACAATCCTGCACCTGGCTCATCTACATATGACCTGCAGTTTGTGAGGCTTGTGGCCTTTCACCTGACCTGACTCACCAGCTTCCACAGACTTTATGCATCAATAGTCTGCCTTCTGACCTGTCAGTTTGAGTTCCTCAGCCTCTGCAACCACATTCATGGGGAGAATCCTCCAAACTGATGTCTGAACTGTGAACCTGGGCCTTACCATCCTCCACTACTGCATGAGCCATTTTCTTGACACTTTATAAGTTCTCTGAGACATTGCAGCAAAATGTTAAACCCAGGGATATGAGGGAGAATACTGAAGGGGAGGACTGAGGATTGTATCAGGGATTACTCAGTAGTATATTGTTGTTAAGACTTACAGCAACTCTGTACAGGGTTTCTGAGGAGTGACTGGTGAGTTTGAACCATCAGCCTTGCAGTTCAAATCGACCTTGAGGATGAGTGCTTATCATCCAATGCCACATCAGGACTCCAGATATATACATATATGAGGGTAACTCAATAAGTATCACTACTTTAAGTCCAGTTATATATGGATGGGTTTATTCCATATAAAATGTAATCCATAGATGGCTGCAGACAAGTTATTTCAGTAATACACTTGTCCTTGTCGCATTAGGATATCTTTTAAAAAAAAAAAAATGATTCTTTTTGTGTCATGAGATAAAAGATTTTAGGTTTAGAACTAATAAGAAATTTTAAACAAAACTTACATGGACATCTTCCCAAATCTTTGAAGCTCTGTGACAGGTTTACAGGAAAGCTGTCCAACATAAAACAACAGTTTTTAAATGGATCAAGTGTTTTAAAGAAGGTTGGAAAGACCTCAAAGATGAACCAAGAAAAGGAAGACTGTTAACCTTGACAAATGAAGAAATGTGGCTGACGTCCAAAACTAGTAGAAGAAGGCCTTAGAATTACCACTGATGTGCTAGCTATTGAAATTGGAATCTTACAAGGTTTAACATTTTCAATTTTTAGCAAACATCTGGCCTCAAAGCTTTCAACTCGATGGGTGCCAAAAGAGATCAGTTAGTACAAAGTGCTGATCTTTCCATGAGTCTTTTAAGTAAGATCAAAGATGATCTTGTAGAACGAATCATAACTGGACATGAGTCTTGGATTTACCAATACTATACATGAGTCCTGATGTGGCACTGTAGGATCGGCATTGGGCTGCTCACCACAAGGTTGGTAGTTCAAACCCACTAGGTGTTCCTCGGAAACCATATACAGGGTCACCACCACTTGTCTGTCAGTTTGTCGGACTGTGGTGGTTTGTGAGTTGCTGTGATTCTGAAAGCTATGCCACCGGTACTTTGAATAACCAGCAGGGTCACCCATGGTGGACAGGTTTCAGATGAGCTTCCAGACAAAGACACACTAGGTAGAAAGTGTGATGAACTACTTCCGAATATTTATTCAATGAAAACCTTAAGACTAGCAGAAAGACACTGTCAGATATGGTGCTGGAAAACAAGCCCTTCAGGTTGGAAGGCACTCAAAATGCGACTGGGGAAGAGCTCTCTACTCAAAGTAGAGTTGACCATGATAACGCCAATGGAGTAAAGCTCGTGGGAGAAACGCCCACAGGACCTTCATTTGCTGAAGAGAAACAGCTGTAAACATCCATTGAAAATCTGAACATGGAATGTACAAGTATGAATCTGGGAAACTTAGAAGTTGTCAAAAATGAAATGGAACGCATAAACATCGATATCTTAGGCATTAGTGAGCTGAAATGGACTGGTATTGGCCATTTTGAATCTGACAACCAC